TTGTTTTTTTTTTATCAATTTATTTATATAAACATATATTTTTAGATATATTCTTTTGAAATGCTTTTTCTTCCTCCTCTCATCACCTATCATCCTAATATTACAATCTCTTGGTAATATAATGAGCTTTACATTATACATTGTCATGTACTATGGTTTTCGTAAAAAGCCGGGGGACACTGACAAGATGATAAGGGTTGGGTAAATTAACAAGAAATGTTGGAATAATCACATAAAATGTCTTTATCTTTATATATTGTTGAAGATGAAAGAGACCTGTTCCTTTGTGCAGGCACATATTCACATGCTTCGTTCAGGCCTATATCTTAGGTAGTGACAGGAAATACAATCTGTATTATATTTTCTCTGACAGAATTTTTTCGAATTTTTGCGAAACACGCACAGAGCCGTTCAAAGTTAACGTGCAAAAATTAAAAAAAAATTCACCGAGCGGCAACGGAAATACGTCAGTCTAAAGTTTCAAATTTCCGAAAATTTTGACTCGACAAGATGGGCAGTTGCGCATGCGCAACATTTTTGTCACGCCACAACACTTGCCACGGACCCCACGAGGTTTTGGACGTCTTATTTCGCCGGACGTCCTTCGCGCTCTTCTAAAGAGCTTTATTTTGCTAACAGTTTACCTTCTGGGTGGATTGCGCCTGGAAGTAACTGCTGCTCTATTGCCTTCAAAGTGCTGGATTATTTTGTGCAAAGTGTCAAGATGATTTGTTCCTGGTAGAGCTGATCGACGCGATGTGGTTGGAGATTTGGGGACAAGTGGGGACAAATGGGGACAAGTGCTTCCTTCCCACCGTTGTTGTTAAGATCTTTTGAATAAGTCATCGTAACACAGGCCGCTTTCTGCAATTTTCTGAATGATGTTTTCTTTGACGAGGAGCTCGTTATCGCCCTGTGAATAGAGCTTGTCTTTGAAAGTTTGCATGCGTTCGTGGCGTCCGTCAAGAAATTCCATGTCTTCGAAAGCGAGAGAGGTGGATTTCACATTGCTGATGTTTACAATTTCAGCGCTTGTTAGCTGCAACGGGGATTGAAAGAGGACACAGTGGAGGGCACGTACATCTTCCAAAGCATCGTGTGCGTTGAAATCTTCATAAAAAACAGCTTGATACACAGAAAGGAGATTGCTTTTACATGGTTTTCCGTGAGGATTGAGAAGAGCGTTACTACCTTTGGCGAGTGTTTTGATGAGTGGGAGGCTATCGGCGAAAAACATGTTTTTCGACGATAATGTTTCTTTATTTGAATTTCCAGCACATCGAAGGAGTGAAGGAGTGTCGAACACAGAAGAATTATGGCCAATTAAAACGGTGTGACAATGCGTACTGATGGAAAGGAAAGAGGTAAAAGATTGAAGACATTCGCTCAGGAGTGTACTGGAACATTCTCTTTGAGCAACGTTCTCTCAACATTCACAGTTTTGACAGTGACTTGTTGACTCGAGAAGCGTAGCTGCTGATATTGTATGTAGATAGCACCTATTTAGTGTTCTGGGTCGGGTTGTTCAAATGCGGGTTAAGATAACCCAGGGTTAGTGTGAAATTTGATTTCAGATCTGAAAGCTTCAAAAGAAAATTCAGTATAATTATTTTTGTCTACAATCTTGTGATTGGGTGCTCTGAAAAGAATAAGGTAAATTTTCCCAAAAAGATTCTTGAATAGAAAAATAAGGAAACGGGGATTAAAATTTAAACCTGGGTTAGTGCTAATCGGCCTTCGAACAACTGGACCCTGCA